AAATCTACCCTGAATCAGCTCCATGATATCCAGATAGGTTTAGTAAAGGCTAGCATCACAGTCTGTCTTACTTGAAGACAGTAGCAGTATTTTAAATGAACAAATTTTTAGCTTGCTAATCCATTTTCATTAGAGCAAATTGAACCTAGGTTATATATTTCTATGTTACAAATCTGCCTGGCATGCAACATGCTAAGATAAATGTCATCTTGCTTTTAGTCACTCACATGAGAATTACAGCAAAAACACTTCAAAACGAAAATGAATACATTTTAGAAAATACCTAATATTTTCAATTTCAGAAGAAGAAAAAAAATTGAAGTACTAGAAGAAATCTACTAAATTTAACTATCGCTTGTTTTTATTCACGGCAACTAATTCAGATGCATGTGCTCTCTGTATGGAAAGTGTGATTTTTCTTTAGATTCTTCTATCTTATGAGGGTACGTTTGGAACTGGATGTTACTGAGAAAAGGATAAGTTGTGGTCTGAGATCTAAGATTGGCTGAACTTTCTCGGTCACTGTGTATGGTTGGCCAGTGAAGTTAGCAGGAACAATAATTCAAATTAATTAAATTAGTTAAATTAATTCAAATTAACTAAATGAATTCAACTCAATACCTCTTCCTGGTATCTCTGATGATTTTTAGCCCTACTCAGTGTTCAGCAAAAGTTTTCTGTAGCGGGACAGGTAATAACTATTTTAGGCTTTGTGAACCACATGGTCTGTGTAGCAGTACTAAACTGTTGTGGTGAGAAAGCAGCTGTAGACAATAAGTAAATTCATGAGCTTGTCTTTGCTCAAGAAATTTCACCAGGTTTTCCTGAACAGTGTGCTTTCCTGGATGGTCATTTTGCTGCTTGTTGTGCACTTATTCTCCATTGTGGAATGCTCTAAGACCACCACAGTTCACATTTGCAGCAAGAGAGTAGGCTAGGCTGCTCTGCCCTAGTGAGTTTTTAAATATCCGTTACATATGAGCAGCGTTCTTTAATCTTTATTTTTTTTCCCTTTATTTCAAAGTTTCGTTGCAAAACTGATAAATGTATTCCATTCTGGTGGAAATGTGACACCGTGGATGACTGTGGTGATGGATCTGACGAACCAGATGACTGTCGTGAGTACACTGGCAGATGCAGGAATTTAGAATTTAGAGCTCCTTACGTCCCAGACCCGGAAAATTGAAGCTAGATCTTAAGTATTGCCTTCTGATAGCTTTCAAAAATTGAAACAGAAAGGTTTTATGTCAGTAGTTTAAAATACAGCAAAAATTGTTGCAATGTCTTGTGTATGTCTCTGATCACTATTACATCCACAATGACACCATCAGCACTTTGTATTCGTCATCTCTTTCTCAATTTTTTTTACTTGTAGAATAACTAAACTCTGCATGTAGCAATCAGGAGAGTAAAAATCAGCATGATTTTGACTTAAGATATCATTAAATCAGAAGCAAAAATGGGCAAGTTTTCAGAATGCCACTCAATGACTGAAATCTTGACTTTAAGGGATACAGTCCTTCAACTTTTCTGTCAGTATTAAAATACTGAAAATTCCTTAAAAGTCAGATTTTTCCAATGTAAGTCATTAGTTGGCTGTTAGTCAATTTAGTATGCTCTTAGTAGTTGCCTTAAAGTGACTACCAATTATGTCTTGACATTTGACTGTCGTTGGCATGGTTAGGTGCTATTTTTTTAAGCTATCTTTGGTAACCTAGGTTGTAATGGACAATCAGCAGACTTTTCCCTGTTAGCCTTTTATAGTTCACTCCATGGGTCACTCTAATACTGTCCTGTCAACTTGAAGATGCTTGTAGTCAATCATGATAATTCCTCAACATCCCAGTAGATGGTTGCCTTGATTTGGTCTTGACAATTGAGTTCAAGATCCTTAGGCTTGCACTAAAGAAAGAAGTATACTGTCTTAGTGAAAGCCAGCTACTTTCTGCTACAGAACTTTCCACCACATAATTACAAAGCTGTTTCAAACTTAGGACCTCTAGATAATTACTTGGATGAGCTGTATTCCACCTCTCTGGTCACTACCAAGTATATCAAACATTTGAAGTTTTTTCACATATCTCATTTATATGTTTAAAATCAGTAAATAATATATTCAGTGAGAAGGAAAAAGTTTTAAAAGTCATTGCTTTTCTAATATTATTTTTGTTTCTGAAAGGTCCATTGCCCTTTGATTTTTTTTAATAAAGTTTTTGTTTTCACTGTGATGGACAGTATATGAAGAGTAGTATCTGTATGACATAGGTATACTATTATGCCTGAATTATTCTTAAGTTACTGAATTAAAAAAATATCAAGGAATAAGAAATTATGGTGGCCAATGGAGATTTACACAATAAAGTTTATTAATTTTCTCACAATAAACTGTTCTGTGATATAGTAAAGTAAATACAACTTATTTTTGTAATTTATAGAAATAAGAATGAATGTGTTACTTTAGTTCTCATATTAAGATGACCTTTCCTGCCCAGATTTACTAAAGTGTTTTTTGAGGAATTATCCCCATAATGACCTGCAGACAAAGTCAGTAGCACCCAGTGCTCTCCCTTCTAAAATATTTACAGTTCCTGAACTCTAATTTTAATCTTGACTGAAATTTCATGCTGTATCCAAACTCATATGAAAAATTAACTACAGCTTTAGTATAACACACTTTTTACATTTACCCACTTTCAGAATATTTGGTGAACAAATATAACTTTAAAGACTTTTGAAGGGAACCAAAGAGGCATCTGGTATCTAAGAGTCTCTGTATGATCCTTATCCTGGTTAAATACCAATACTAAGTGTTTTTATTGGTGACATTATCTCTGTGATATTTTAGTAAATGATCTATTTCTTGGAGTTGACGGGTTAACAGCTTGAACATCTGTAGGCATGACACTATTTTGAGAGTCATGGTGAGGTGGAAAATGATGTACGTGTGTCTGTCAAGTGTTTAGACTTCATTTTTGAGTAGCTGCATCATCAAAATTTGCAGGTATTAAGAGCCACTGACAATACCTATAATTTCACCTGAAAAAGCAGCAAAGCTTGATACCAGGTTCATATACCTTCATACTGCAATAATGTTATTTATGCAAATATAGTTGAGTGATGCATCAAGAATTCTCTGGCATCATAAGTTTGTAATTATATTTCCTATAATACCCTAATGCATCAAGGATCATTCTAGAGACACATTTAAAGGTCACATAGGCTTCCTAGTTATTTAACAGACATTGGAACTCCTTTAATATTTACAACCCTTCTTACGGAAAAGTTTTGGACAACCTCACTTGTAATGGACAAGGTGACTGTGGGGATGAGGAAGATGAAAGGGACTGTCATAAGTCACCTCAAAATGTTCTGTTCTGTCTTACTTCTGACTCTGAACTGAAATTGGTCTAAAAATTACTATCCATACACCATAAGTTCATAAAGTGTTGAAAAATACAGCAGCAATTATGCGCAAAGAAATATTAAAGGAACTCGTATATGAAGCAACAGGAAATAGAGGAAATGCATGTTTAGATCATGAGAAAATTAAGGATCGCCCAGTTTAAACATTTAGTGTGATTAATTAATAAATGTTGTAAATTGAAGGTAAATGATGTTCAACATTTTAGAACTCACTTCTATGGAAGCCATGCATATATTGAGGTTTTTTTCCATGTTAAGAAAATTTTAATTAATATTTTAATTATAAAAGTGTAATTTATCTTCCAAAGGAAGTTCAAAATATAATTTATTAATGTTTGATTGACCGATTTGAACTAATAAACAGCATACTATTAATCTCAAAATCAGTGATTAGTAACACACATTAGGATCATCAGTGAAAAGATAAGTGTTTATTGCAAGTTGTGAGAAGACTTCAGAGTCAGATGTGGATTTAAACTTCAACTCCGGCATTTGAAACTTGTATATTCTTGGGTGAATTATTAGAATCCATGAGACTTACTTTCCTCATTTATAAAATGGTCATGGTGATCTCAAGGTGAGAAGTTTATAATGAGATTCAATTAGTAACTATATGTGAAAGAACCTAGCCCAGTGCATGATACAAAGTAGATAGACAATAGATCCTACTTTATTGTTATTATTGCTTAAATAAACTCAAAGAATATAGCAAAAACTGCTTTACCATGTAGGAGATATTTATTATAATAACATACATATGGTATATAAAAATCTTTACTAGTTATGACATTGTCCTTATATATTAATAAGATTATAGGAATAAATATCAATAATTCTGATTTAAAATGTGATAGTTATAGAAAGTATTTGCTTTAAGGAATGCTGGGGAATATGTATTGAGGGCAGATATTTCTCTCTTAACACATTACAGGCAGCAAAGTGATCAAATAAATAATTTTTTAAGTGATATTGGAATAACTTTTTAAAAAAATCACAGTGAACTGTGCTCTGCCACTCAATACCATGTCTTTGAAATGAGGAGAAATTTAAATGTTTTAAATATATATATTTATATGTTGTTAATATCTTTCTTCTTACTGTTAGTTTATAAAATCTAATGTGGAGGCCATCTGAGCTGCTCAAAGCTTAACTGCACATCTGAAACTAATAGCTCTCTGGATGTGAGACATTCACATTGTGCTCTAGGATATGTTTAATATAATAATATAATAAATATGTTGAATGTCAGGAAAGCTCTGTTTAAGAAGTCATGAGCTAAGATTGTCATTCCACGATACCTATATGTTTCCTCCTCTAGCGGAATTTAAATGTCAGCCAGGCCGATTTCAGTGTGGAACTGGGCTCTGTGCTCTGCCCGCTTTCATCTGTGATGGAGAGAATGACTGTGGGGACAATTCTGATGAACTCAACTGTGGTAGGTGATTACATTCTTAACTAAGGAACACAAATCTAATTCTTAACTGATTATGTCTGCACTGATTTAAATTCAGACACAGGCTTTAGCCCACATTTTTTGTTCTCTCTTTTAGACACACATGTCTGCCTCTCAGGTCAGTTCAAGTGTACCAAGAACCAGAAATGCATCCCAGTAAACCTCAGATGCAATGGGCAGGATGACTGTGGAGATGAGGAAGATGAAAGGGACTGTCGTAAGTCACCTCCAACTGTTCACTCTGACCTCTGACTCCCAACTGAAATTGGTCTAAAGATTATTATTGTTCACCATAAATTTATACAGTGTGGAAAATATAACTGCAATGATGGGCAAATAATTCCAACTAGATGTCTATTGGGATGGTTAAGAAACTCTGTATAAAAATATATAGAAAATTAAAACATGGGTGATCTTTACTTAAAAGCTACCTGGAGATTATTACAAACATGAAAAAACATGCATTCATCCACATCATCCTTAAGAGAAGCAGCAAAACCAAATTACAGGTGATTATGGTGCATTTTTAAAAAATATAGATTTTTTTTTTACCATATTAAGTAGCTGCAGGTAATTTTCTTCTGTTGATTTAATTAGTTACTTGAAATCAACTCCATTTTAATTAGAGATTTTTTTCCTTAATAATAACATATTGAATGTATGATAAGAAACAAAAATCTGGACAAAATAACCTAACAAAATCACTTGTTAAAAACTGTAAGTAATACTCCTTCTAATGTATCTTAACAAGCTACTTCAAAAGACAATTGTAAAATAATTTTAATTCTGTTCACATTTTATTTCAATCTCCCATGAAAAATAAATATACATAAAATGGGAGGCAGAACAATTTACATCATATACATACATGCACTTAGGCAGGCAGGCACACACATACATACACACACAGGATCTGAACCATAGAGCACCTATCAAGTTCAAGCTTTCAGCAGAACTACTGTCAACATTTCTGTCTTACTGAAGTTTTATTTTATTCCTCTAAAACTTTTATTAGTAAATAATGTGCAGTCATCCAGCAATTTGATTAAGATGGTACATTCAGAATAAAGTCAGTACCAGTTCTTTATGGTTAGAGATTCTAGAAGCTGATCCATTAAACTGACTAAGATTCGTGAAGCAGTTTATAGTTTGAGTCAGATGTTCACCTCTTCCGTCAAAATCTCAACACAACTAGAGGTTTTGATAAATTCTGTGCCTTTCTTTTTCTCATTCACTAATATCTTCTGATTTTAGTCTTTTTCTATTTACAAAAATGCCTATGTGTAAATTCTTATATTTATTTATCTGAAAAAAATTATTTTGAAAGACCCTGAATCCTTTATTTTTTAATTAGTTTCAAGATATCTAATCAAGGTGGGGTGGTTTTGAAAACTCTGATTTTTATCAAATGCATCATTTGCAGAAATATATTTTATTTATTTATACTGGAACGGGTAATAGGAATACACTATAGATAATTAAAAGTTAAAACTTATCACCTTCAGGGTCTTATTAATTAAAAGATGATACATTTTCAATTGATTAACTTAAAAATTTATTTGTTTTTCAATTAGAATGTCTATTTTTGTCCAAAGCTACATTTTAATAATAGATGCTTTCCTCTTAAGCCGAAAACAGCTGCTCTCCAGACTATTTCCAGTGTAAAACTACCAAACATTGCATTTCCAAGCTGTGGGTTTGCGACGAGGATCCAGACTGTGCAGACGCATCAGATGAGGCCAACTGCGGTGAGTGTTTTGTGATGGTGGATCCTACCTCTTGCATTTGTATCATCATCTGAGATGGCCATAGTGAAATGAATTTGAACACAATTCTGATACAACTAGGGCCTAACGTGCGAATGTTTTTCCTCTGTGCTCCCAGAGTCAATAACCTCAGGTTAGCTATTTTAGAAAAAGCATGGAGGGGTAAGGCAAAAGGGTTAAGTATTGCTTTAGCATAAGTCAAAACTGTTTCTAAAAAGACAGATCTGAAAGGTAAGATAAAACTGTCTTCTTATGTTAGCGTATGCACATGCTATTAGCATTTAATGAATAGAAACAATAAAACATTTTCATATTGTTCTAGGCTTCATTTTTCTCCTTAAATATGATTGTTCATTTATCCAATGATTATTGTTCATTCTTAAACATGGTGGGGAAAAAGAAAAAAGATAACAAAGGCATCTGTTCTGTTTTAGTAGATGACAGCAATCATTTAAGTTAGCATGTTTCTGAAACATTAATATTTTCACTTAAGATCAATTATTTTATTTACAGTTATTATTACTTAACATTGCAGAAATGGAGAACATATGTATTCATTTTTGTTTAATGCATTTGATTCTATCCTGAATATGTCAACAGTGGAACAGAAATAAATAGTTGTCATGTGTAACTCATTTTTTTCAACATTTATGAAACATTAATTGAGGCTATTTTTTAGGTGACTGCACCAAACTTGGCATTGTTAGGGAAGCAAAAAAGCATTTAATCTAGTAATTGATTAGAAAAGACAGAGTTTGTCCAAACTAAGGACAGAACCTTCAGGCTTCTTAGAAAAAACTGTCTTAAATGCATTTGCTAGATTCCACCCTACTGTTAATTAACTCTTCTGGGAGAAATCAAAATGATGAAAATCATTTAAGTTCTTTGAAATTCCATTATATTGAACAATATTCATGAGCTGTATGTATAATCACAGGCAACAATACGTCATTAAGAGTTTTTTTTCTAATACTGTCTCTATATAACTGTGTCTTCAGGACATGCAATCAGTATGGCTTATCACTTTATAGTATCATAAAACCACCATTTCTCACTTTGTGGCATTGACCTTCATAATCAATTCACAAAGCATCAAACCATACCCATCACCAGTTTGTCCATAACACTTATCAAGGACTTTTGCAGACGAGTTTATATTACTGGCTATTTTACTCTCTTGTCTTTTGTATTTTTGTTTACCAAAGCAACATGGAATAATGACTTATATTAGCTATCTGAAAAATTTCTTGGATGAAATGTTTTCTTTCTCCATTTTACTCTTCTTCCTCATCACTTTGACGTGATTTAACTGTTTTGGCATGTTACACCGTTCAAACTGATAATTATTAATCATCATAATAAGAAGAATGCCTAATATTTATGTGGTGTTTACCGTATGGCCCAAGAAATGCGTTAAAGGCTTTATAGCGATTACTTCATTTAATCTCCTTATTATCCCTATTTTATGGTTGAGGAAAATGAGATCCAAGGAGTAACTTACCCCAAATCCTACAGCTAACAAGTGGCATAATTGGAACTTGAATCCAGGGTTATTTGACACCAAAGCCTCTGCTCTATGACCATAACATGAATCCACATCATTTTTTCTATATAAAAAGAAAATATTTAAATGTTTTCTGTTATAAAATTATATAGAATTCTCCTAGCCACAATTATTACTTTAAGTTCCAGACCAGTATACAAATATATACATACATACAGAAAATGGGGGAAAGGATGAATAAGGGTTACCATTTAATGTATCTTAAACCCACTCTAAAATGTTACCGTGGACAGGTGCTAATTTAACTTAAAGAAACTTCTTCTACATCATATTTTAGCATGGCATTTGTCAATCCTTATTTTTGAAGGAGCTAAAAGACCACCTCTTTCCCCTTTCTTCTGTCTTCAATACATATATAAATGCCATGTATTTTTGCTAATTCTTTTAACACCCTTGTGGGATAGTTCCTCATTTGATGCTTTATTGAGTGGGAAAGAAACATAACACTCCTTAAAGATTAACCCTATCAAGCCAAGGCCTTATTATTTGAATCTGAGTTACATGTTTCTTTGTGGGTGAGAATGGGCCTTGTCTAGAAGAAGGGATGTGTTTCACTATTTCACATGTCAAGTGGCCTAGCAGGTTGTAGTGTAGACTTGCATTAAATGCTGTTGAGAAACTGGCCCATTCGTTGTTGCAAAACCTCCATTTGCAACCCATTTTTATTTCAGTTGCCTTCTGTACCTTCTTAGCCCAGTGCTCAGTTTAGGAGGAGATTCTTTTTTATTCTTGGAGTTCACCTAGCCCTTACATCTTATTTTTCAGCACCAATATTTGTATTTATCTATAGTTTTATATCTAATTGTTTTCTGTCAGTTCTAAAGTTCCAGGATTATAGTTTGTTTTACCTTGACCTAAATTAAACAGTTTGGTTTGCTTTGCTTTTAATTGTGTAAATAAAACCAATGGAGAAGCACACATGCAAGGGAGAGGGAGAGAGAGAGACAGTCACTATAGAAAAGCCTAACAAAACAGAGCACAGTAACTTAACACAAACACAGTACACATGTAGTATAGGGAACTAAATAACCAGTAATGTGCAAATATTTTAAAAATTATTTGATTTTTATATTTACCAAAATATCACATGTTTATTGCAGTCAGCCCAGTGTAACTTTTGAGATCTTACGAGTACTTGCAAATTTAACAGCTAATGCTCAATATTTGTAAAAAATTGTATGGTAATCATTTCCAGGTTAGCATAAGGAGGCTTTGAAATCACTTTGAATAGATGTAGATTAAATATAGTTTAGGAGTCTTTGTCCAGTAATCTAGTCGTGGTGAGACTTTGAATTTAAAAATTAAATTAACTGCATAGTTTCCCATCTTATTATGGCTAGATTTTGAGATGGTTGTATTTGAGTCCATTAAAGCTACATTTGGCACGTTTGGATTTAAATTGAAAAATATTTTAAAACACCTTTTAATTCTATTTTTGTATAAATATAGATTTAAATCTATGCTACCTTCACAGTTGTAGCAGGATACAGTGGGCCTGTCTTATCCACAGGTTCCACATCAGCAGATCTGGAAAGGCCGACTGTACTAAGCTATTTTGTCTAAGGGACTTGAGCATCCATGGATTTTGGTATCCGTAGCGATCCTGGAACCAATCCCCTGTGGATACCAAGGAAGGCTGTAGTTTTAACCTTGTTTTATGAGTTGTTAATAGTTATTATAAAATTATTTCTTTTTGCCTGAGGTTGTTTATTCTTTCCTCACTCTATGCCCAAATAAAAGAAAGCTTCTTAAAACGTAGATATACACACTTCTACTAGACTATTGATGTTAACTACTCTTAGAAGGCTGTTACACTATTTATTACAATATTGGGCCAGCGCCACATTTGAATGCCTGACCACAATCAGTAGACTACTCCAACTGTGGCAGCTCTGGGCTTTTCATTAAGAATTTCAGTTTCAAACTTTCTTCACCTTCTGCCTGCCATTTTCTATTTTAGGAATGAAATGAGCATTTAGGGATTTGACGGATCTGTACTAGATTCATAATTCTTTGTAACAGAGTTGAAACTTTCTGCAATTTGACTCTTATAAGGTGATATCAGAATATGTCTTTCCATTACGTTCTCTCTCCCTGTTTTATAGTTTAGATTCTCAGTGCCCTAGATCCCTATGAAACATCCTTTTCATCAGTTTTATGCCTGGGCTTTCCTGGTCAGCTATGAACTCACCACTCTGCTCTCTAGAGTCGGCTGTTTGTGCTGCCACATCGCTCCTCCCTGTGGTCTCATTTCCTGCTTTCTTCTCCTACATCATTTCTGTGTCATCAAAGAGAGTCTTGCTTTCACGCTAGTTCAGAGTCATTTGCTGCTTTTGAACAGTCTTGATTTATAACCAACCTGCTGCTTGGCTAATTATTTTTACTTAATGCAGTCGTTATAATCACACTAGCTGAGGCTTGTGAAAGGAACTTGAGCTTCCTACAGTAGCTTTGTACTTTCCATAGCCTGGATTTCAAGCATGACACTGAACACACTCAAACCAAAAGACAGAACCCGTCAATGCTTGCTTTTATTCTCCCTTAAATGTCTGATGAGGAAATTTGAATTGGGTTACTCAAGCTATGAGAATATAAGAAAAAAAAATATTTTTTAAGTTAAAGCAAGTGTAATACATATTAAATTATAAGATATTTCAAACACAAAGACTTGCACAGAAAGTTACACAATTATATACCTGTACCATTTTTAATAGACTTTAACATTTGGTCTAAGATATCTCTTAAAACATTTAAATCCCTACAATAACAGATTTATAGCAGTACATAGGAAGCCTACGTATTAGATGCTGTATTAAAAAAAAGTATGAAATGTAGAACTTGAAAAATTTGCCTCCTTTTACCTACTTTTAGAACAAAAATATGTGTGTTTCTTTCAGTTTATAAGATTCTGTTCACGTATCTTTTGGGCTGGCAATTTCCTTAGTGGATATTCTGTCATTTATATTTTCAGGTGTTATTTAATGTTGTTTAGTACCATGTATATAGGATTATACTGTATATTAATGAATGAAAGTAGGTAAAATGAAAGATTGTATTGCCTCTTCTCAACAGCAACACCTGATAATGCACCTCTATGTAGAAGGTACTTTTGTTTATTCCTTTAAGAAAACTTAGATTTGTGCTTATATGTTAAGATCAGTTTGAGGATCCAAGTGGTATCAGACTTTGTTTACAAAAAGACTATCCATTTTCAGCCATTAACATTTCAGGACAAAATATAGTAATGCGTAAAAAATGACCTATTGTAGAGTTGTGACTGTAACATTTATTAGCTTTGTGATGTGTATGTAGGGGACAGATGTGGTATAGATGATGATTCTGATAACCATACTTATTCTCCAGTCAGTGTTAGATTCAATGCCTGGGCTGCAAAGCCTCTGGGCTAGATTTTTTATGT